TCCCTCGGAGCTCGGCTGCTGCTGAGTGCTTTGACATTGCGCTTGTCAATGAAAGCTGTTTCAGTGCTCAACTGAATCTCCCTTCCAAAACTGCAAATTGTTGCTGCTCAGACACAACATTCACCATTTGATCACTGTTAGCTTCTGCCAGTAGCAGAATCTACAGTGTGAGGTGTGCTTAGCAAGACGAGCGCATCCTATGTAATCTTCACATTTGTGGAGCCCCAGTGGCCAAGTCACTATTCTCTACTCACTGTGTATGCAGTGCTGTCTACCACATGACTGCCTGACCTCTAAAATGGGGTATTCTTCCCTCTGAGCTTACAGGGGTGGCATGACTAAGGAGGCACTCAGGGACAGTCCTGACCACAGTTGTGGCAGTACAGTGAGTGCTACAGGAAAAGCAGCAATATTTACCGATATTTTTAGGATGGAAACATCCAGTCGCCATTCCACCAACTGTACTTACTCACTGAAAATGGAAATCAGGAGAAATGAAAACTCACTCTCTGGAAGACATTTTCTGTATGGATCTGGATTCTAGCTCCACAGGAGGCAGCAGTGTAGTAACATTTCTTGTCTGTTCTTTCTTGCTTCACGATTTAGGCAAGTAAAGCTATGAGCTAGTGACTGTTAAAAGGGGCACAGTAAGGCTTCTGATAACATGGAAGATAGGATCATTTCATTCAGAGTTGAAAAAGTCAAAATGGGAGAAGGTGGGGTAGAATCCCATCATGAACTTGCCCTCACTTGTGCAAAAGGAGAATAAATATGCTATATACTTATGTAAAAACCCTAGGTGGACTCCCAGAATTCCCTGTGGCATGTCTGAAGGGGAACAACAGGGATCCTCTGCTCCTGCCCTGACATGAAGCAGCTTTCCACATCCATAGCATAACTAGGATGTTTCTCATTGTGGAAGAAATGCTGCGGTTTTTCCACAAAGCTAAACATTTCCTTCTCTCTCTTGCTATTAACTGGAAATTCGGTGCTGATTTTTAAAGTCTCTATGAAGTTCTGTATTTACTTTCTTTCTTTCCCTGCTACCTAAATGCACATGAACAGGTTGAAGACATTATTTTAGATAATAAGAATTAGTAAGCAAGGGACTGAAAATTTGCATTTGTATCAGTTGTGAATGTATGTACCAGAAGTACTTGCTATACTTAGGGCTTTGTCACAAAAAAAATCACAGTAAGTTCATATCATATTATAGCTATTGCAGGCATCTCAGATGCCATTTATACTCAAGCCTAGAGATAACTAATTAATACACATATTGCTAGACTTTTATTTCTTAGCTACTGAAGCATACATATTGTTGTTACAGACATTTAAAAACTTTGACAATCCTATTATATAATCCATAGGCTTGTGATGCCTTCAGGAAACCTTTTCCCTGTTAAGAAGAGGTCCTTAGGCTTTGCCATATTACCAAGGGGGCTACAGAGACCGGTTTTAGATAGATCCTAGATTAACTTACAGAGCAGAGCCCTTTTCTTCTCCACCTATTCTTTAACTACCCTGCAGATCCACACTGCTCTATGATGAAAGAAGACTTTAATTTGTAAGCCACTAAGTCAGGGAATCTTTTATTTAAGTTTAGTTACTTTATGCAGAGCACCCTAACTGATAAAATTATCCCAACAATATCCACAGTGGTCTCTGGTTAGAAATGACCCAAAAATGAAGATGGAGGAACAAGCATTATATGGGGGTCACAGAAATGTCTCAGAAGGGAGGAGGCAAAATCTGGTGAATCTCACTGATTTCAAGGCCAGCCTGGTCTATATAACAAATTCCAGGCTGGCCAGCCAGGGCTGACCATATTGGAAGGAAAGAAGGAAGGAAGGAAGAAAGGGAGGAAGATAGGAAGACATCTCAAGAGGTATCAACCCAGAAAGAAGTGAAGCTGAATACAGGAAACTAAGATTGAATTATGCCACAAAAAAGTTCAACTGTAATCGTGTTTGTATGAGAGTTATAACTGCCACAAAAGAATCAATCTTTTCTGGTATTTTTCTCTTTGTCTAATAGATGAGCAGATATTTTTTATTTACTTCATTTCTCAGGTCCTAAGGGCTTCTGAATTTACTACACTTTAAATGTAGCATTTTAAGACACTCAAGAGATGCAAATTACCATAGCATTTCCTATGTTCTTCCAGAGATTTTTTAAAAAATGTCACTTAAAAAAAATCTGTTTATTTAAATTAAATAAACTCTTAAGTGATTAAAAAAATTCTTTTGTGCTTGAGGTCTTTTTTCTTTGCCTTATTTTTTAAACACAGTACTGTGTATAGAACTCGGGGCCTTGCACACATTAAGCAAGGGAATACCATTGTCCAGAAAGGTTTCAAGACAGGAATTTGATGACTTCTCTGTTTTGTTCAATTTTATTTCCACCTTTAAATTCATCTGCTACCTTGATTCTGGATCAGATGAATCCCATGGAAATTTTAAAACTGTCATTAGCATATGAACCCTTGAATTACTTGACATAAATCTTTGTAAAAGGAACTTCTATTCACCTGTTGTTTCAATTGTTGTTTTGGAGGCTGACAATTTTCTTCTGCTAACCTAGGCTTAGTCCTGGAAGCTTCTTGTCTCCATACAATCTAATCTAGGCCTAGACTGTTTTCAGCCTCTGAGACTTACTGCTTAATAAGCTCATCCTTTTCTTGTTCTTACTGAGCTTTGGGCTGGCTGGTTCAATTCAGCTGTTCTGGTTCAAACCCTCTCCCAGCCAACTATTCACTCTGGCGTTTCTCTTGGCCTCTGAATTGCTCTGCTCTGAGCTCAAACTAATTCCAGTAATCTGCTCTAACCTCCTGGCTCCTTCTCATTCTCTGGCTCATTCGGTCTTCACCCGAGTTCTCTCTCTGCAACCTGTCTCTCTCTTGCTGTCCCGGTAACCCTACGTCTTTTCTCTCTGCATTGTCCCTTAAGTTAGCTTCTCTTTCCTCTCTTTCTTGTGAGAGTTGGACATATCCTATTCTGTCAAACCTTTCTCTGATTTGTCACCTTTCTGCCACTCAAGCATCACTTTCAAACTTGGGTGGTGCTTCCTTTTACAAACTAACTTTACCTGCATTCTTTGGGATTAAAAAGATGTGTACCATTACCACACCTGGACTAGGCTTTTTTTTTTTTTTTCTCTATAGCAGGCTGGCCTTGAACTAAGATCTGCTTGCCTCTCTCTCCTGGATTAAAGGTGTATTGTATTCTAGCAGGATCACACAGACCTAGAAAGTCTTTGGATGTGATCTTTTGCCAGAGCAGTTATTTTCTGAACTAAAATCCTATACAATATGACAGTTCTTCCTGGAAGAAACACTGTGATATTTTATTATTGTTATTCTTAAGACGTTTTAAAAGTCATTTGCTGATATGTGTGTTAAGTTATCTGTGTATATTTATGGGCACATGTGTAGAGGTCAGAGGACAACTTTTGTGAATTGGTTCTCCTCTACCACAGGGATCCCAGGAACTGCAATTAAATCCACCAGGCTTGGCTGCAAGTGTCTTGAACCCCTGAGCCAGCTCAGGTTTTCTTTTTCCTTAAAAATATATAAATAAATATATAAAAATAAGAGTTCACTAGCCCAGGATAGTTTCGAACTCTTCCTACCTCCCAAGAACTGGGATTATAGACAAGTGCCATTATGTGTGGTTTTAGTGGCTTCTTGGAATGCATAATACTTTAAGTATTTGTGTGAATTTTCACAAATCCAAGAGTGAAAAAAAAAAAAAGAAAAGACAGCATAAGGAACCCACAAGTACATATTTCTCACCTTCAGCAGCTATTATACACTGCCATTCTTATTTTATTTTTATTTCCCTGATTTGTCACTTTTTCTGCCACTCAGTTAGGCAGGAAAACATGGGTGCTTTCTTCTACAAAGTAACTTTACCTTCATTGTTTGGGATTAAAGGCTTGTACCACCACACCTGGGCCTAAGCTTTTCTTTACCTTTTCAGAAGTTCTTATAATCAAACAAACTCAGGGCCATTCACAAGATAGGCAAACAATCTATCCTACCCCAGCCCACCTTTTTAGGCTATTCATCTTATTTGAACTCTCCACCAGGATTATTTTTTGACCCTTTATTTTTGCTATGTATTTTAAAACAAATTCTAGGTATTACATAGTTAACTTGACTAAAAAATATTTTTGTAGGATAATTATTAATTCACATTTAGCACACTTAATAGGACAGAGTCCTTGTTTGAATTTTGCTTGGTTGTATAAAATTGTGTCCTTGGTTTGTCTGAACGAAGAGTACAAGAGTGTTCCCAATGTTTGTTTGACTTAATAGAAAATTCTTTTGTGTGTTTTGGTGGTGGTGGTGGGAACAGGGCTGTCTGCAAGCTAAGCAGGAACACAACTGAGCTACATGCCCAGCTGCCCACCTGTTCTATCTCTAAAATGCTACTTATTTGCTGAAGAAGCCAGGACATCCTTCTGTCAAAATTCCTTCACTCTCAGCCAGGTATGGTAGGGCATGCCTACCATCCCAGCACTCAGGAAGGCAGAGACAGGAGGATCTCTGTGAGTTCGAGGCCAGCCTGGTCTAGAAAGCGAATTTAGGATAGGCAAGCCTACACAGAAAAACCCAGTCTCAAAAAAAAACAAAACAAAAAAACAAAACAAAAAAAACCAAACCAAACAAACATAACCAAAACATACAAACAAAATCCTTCATTCTTGTTCTGTATTTTTGCTGACTGCATAGTATATTGTTCAAAACATCCCTCCGTTTTCTATAAAAAAAGCCCTTGTTAGATTAAAAAAAAAATCTAACATTCTTTTAGCAAGAATTAGATGGCACTGTGGATACCTTCACTGCATTCAGGGAAAATGGAATATTAGTCTGAAAACAATGACTTGCAGTCACCAAAAACCCTAGGAAAAGTACAACAGGGTCGGGCAGGTCAAGATACGGTACAGAGGGGGCACAGAGGGCCCGGGCCAGGAAAGAGAATACCTCAGAGCAGGCTCTAGGAGGTGGAATCCAAGTCCTCTGAGCTGTCCTGGGCATCAGTGCTGTTGCTGCTACTGTCTTCGCCATCGGTGTTCTCCGGCTGACAGGCCTCTTCCGCACCAGGAAGTGTGCTGTCCTGGTCCTCCTGGGGCCCCAGAACCACATATCTGCCCCTTTTCAGCACCAGCTGCCTCCTCAGCTCATCTGCCATCTGTGAGAGATCCCGTTTCATGGCGTAAGCATCTTCCCCATCGGCATAGTACTTGGGTTCCACCTCACTAACCTGGAAGTTGAGGGTGTTCGAGTACAGGTGCAGGGCCGCCCTGTTGCTCTTCCTGACGTGCAGTGACACGTACTTGGCACTGAAGTTCTCGATCATCGCCCGGGAGGCCTGGTCCATCAGCTTCTGGGCCAGGCCGAGGCGCCGGTGCGAGCGCTTCACGGCCAGCGAGGTGATGTGGCCGTGGGGGACATCGTCCGGGTCCTCCTCCATCTTGGCCAGGACATAGCCCACTATCTTGCCGTCCTCGTCCTCAGCGATGTAGGAGAGCTGCGGCCATGACAGGCCGTGGTAGAAGTAGTACTTCATCTGGTAGTTCTCGGGCAGGCAGAGCAGGTTGCAGTGTTGCATGTTCATCAGGTCGTCGGGCCGGGCATTGCGGATGTTCATCCTGGTGGGCAGGGCCGGAGGTCCCACACCACGCCGCCGTTGCCTCGGCAATTGACTTAAGCAGGGCCGAGCCTCGAGGCGTGGAGACCAGAGGCGGGAAGACCGGCAGGCAGAAGGGGCGGGGATAAGGCAACTTCCGGAAGCGTGCAGCCCCAGCCAATGAGGTTTCCGGTTCGCAGGACTGCACCTGCGCACGTTGGGAAAGGGGCGGAGCAAGAAGAGCCCACAGAACGCTTTTTAAGAAGTGTCATTCATTGGGTCCGGTGTCTTGTATTTGATCAAATTTTAACTTAAAAACAAACTTATTCTGTCTGTGTGTGTATGTAATATGTGTGTGTGAGAGGGCATCTGTATCCCCTTTACTCGATGAGCCATCAATTTGGTCTTAATTTTGTGTCTGTTAGTTTATCCTCCTCTGAACACCTTAATAACCAGAATAAATACACCAGTACGTCACTGTCATCACAGGTAGCCGGTCCTTCCTGCCACTTACTCCCTGGACTCCTACATCTGGACTTCTGGGTTTCATGTAATAAAATCATACTGTGTGCAATTTTTTGTGTATTTTTTCACTCACTACATGTGAGTTTCAGCCATCTTGTACACAGCTGAGGCGTCTCTATAATCTCGTTTGATATTCCATTGTCTAAATGTATTGCAATCTACTGGGAAGCTCTGTTGTTCCTGGCTATTTGTTTGGAATGGTATGGAGAGTGTAGCTGAATGTTGTTGAATATTGTGGTTGAATACTTACCTTGATGGGAGAGTATAATGACTTCCAAATGTTATGAATATACCTAAGCTAATTTGCGAAGTGAAGTTCCTCTTCATTCTCAGAGAAACATGTTCTAGTTGCAAAGAAAGAGACCTTCACTTCAAATGAAGTGTTTGGAAAAGCAAAACCCTTCATCAAGAGGGCATACTTGGAGGAGCAAACACATATAGGAAGAGCATTTGGTTTTTATTTTAACTCTGTTGGTGGCTGTGTCTTTTCACCATTTCTTGGGGTCCTCACAATCTTACTCAATTGGCTAGTCTGAAAAAAACAAAAACAAAAACAAAAAACCAAAAGTGAGCTGGTGCACAAGAAATAAAGTATGAAGGGGAATGGGTCGCTGCCCCAGGAATCAAATTCCTAGAACAGAACAATGGACCTTTGCATAAACAAAGGTTTTACTGGATTGGGAAAATTAAAGCATTTTCATAAAAGTCTTACAAGGTGGGGAAAATGGATCTTAATTTCTTGTCCTAAACACAAGTCTCCTAGTATTTGATATAAAAGATTCGTCTTTGATAATTTCTTATATTGTCACCATATGTTATTTCTCCATTCTTTCATTTTACTCATTCTTCGGTTGGAGGTGTTGCACTGTGGTTGATTTTTCATTTCTCTGGTGACTAGTGAACACCTGCTCATGAGCTGTTCTGTGTCATTTTTTTTTTTTTTGAGAAGTGGATGCTCAAGTTTTTGTTTATTTTCTAATTGGCCTGTGTGTTTTCTCTCTGTGTCTCTCTGTGTCTCTGTCTCTCTCTGTCTCTGTCTCTGTCTCTCTCCATAGCCTTGGCTATACTGGGTTTAGAACATTCAGTCACATTTATGATCAGGATATACTCATAATGTAGATAAGGCTGGTCTTGAACTCACAAAGATCACCTGCCTTTGCCTCCTGAGTGCTGGGATTAAAAGCATGGACCACCATAAAATGCCTGCTTTTCAAAAGTATATGTCCTGGCTTGAACCTCTTTTTAGCCCTAGTTATAAGGATAGTTGTAATGAATATCATCCTTTTCTATTTATTGATTTCCACCTCTTCTAATGTCAGTTCCTCTCCCCTTTCCCCACCACTGGAGAGTGACTGGAGGGTGAATCTAGAGCCTTTCCCCATTACCAGGATACTGTTGTCTTTCAAGGCTTCTTAATGGTAATTTTTAACCAGACGTGAATTTCTTGCTTTTTAAATTTTATGAGTACTTTTTGTGTATTGCTTATGAATTCTGTGCCTAGTCCATAATCACATCTTATGTTTTCTTCTGAAATCTTTATTGTCTTAGGTCTATATCTATATTTGCTTCCCTTTGACATTTACTTTTGAATGTGTTTCCAGGTAAGTTGGGTTTTCTTCCCTAGGTTGATATTACAATTCATTTACTAAATACTGTTTTTTTAATCACCAACTTCTCTCCACTGAATTTCACTGTCACATTTACCATAAACATTTGGCATATTAAAAGAGTATATCATCTTTTAATAAAGAAAAAATTGGGATTATCTTTTGAAAATTCAAGGGAATCACATTTTGTTAGCATTGTTTTACACATAAGCTAACTGTAAACCCTAGAAATCTATTACACATACATATGCATACATATAATACACACACCTCTCTTTCTAGTTTCTCAGGAGACTTATGAGGTCAAATACCAAAATGTATTCAGCCATAATTAGAATACAACATTTTCCTTCTTCTACTTTTTATGCATGTAGAATTTATGCCAGTATTCTTACCAATAACTGTACATACTCCTTTCATAGTTAGAGTCATGTGAGTTATGAGACATAGCTTAAATAGCAACTGTTCATTGTTGTTGTTAAAATCTGACAATTAGCAGTAGTCTCACACTGTAGACTAAGCTGCCCTGGAACTTGTGGTACTCTTGCCTCAGACTTTGCAGTAGCTGGTGTTTTAGCCTGCACCATTGGACCAAGCTTTCAACCTATTCTTTCCTTCCTTCATCCCTCACTCTCTGCTTTCCTTTTTCCTTTCCTTTCTTCCTCCCTCCCTTTGTTCCTCCCTGTCTTTATTTCCTTAATTTTTTTTCATACAGTTTCAATGTGTAGCCCAGACTGACTTCACATATATGTCAGTGTCCTTGCCTCAGCCTTACAAGTACTGGGATATGCCACCATGCTGGCTTTAGCAATTTAATTTTTTATGTATTTATTTATTTATTATTCTTTGCTAATTTCTTACAAATATATAATGTATTTTGCTCATTTTCACCCTCTATTGCTGCCTATTATCCCCTTGTCACTTCTGTAGAATCCTATCTTCTTCCTAAGAACTCTCCATTTCTACTTCCATGTCTCTTTAAAATTATTGCTTTGTGATCTACTGAGTTCAGTTGGGGTTGCTTGCCATGGACATGGGTAAGAGGCTGGCTGAAGTGTGGGCTTCACCACACAGAACGCTTACTACCAATATCTTACCAGGGAAAGGTTTGGTCTCATGATTCCCTCCCTCATTTGTGGTGAAAGTTTGATAGGTTAAAGTTTTTTTAAATAAATTTAAAAAAAAAAAGAGTCAAGAATTCTTAAAGCTAGAACAACACAGGATGCCATAGTCATCAAATATGTAGAAATTTTATTTTGGTTACTCCAAGATCATTTTGGAAATTATTAGCTTCTTTTTTATTTGTTTGCTTTAATAGCACTGGGATTGAACCTGGGACTCTATGCTTAGATGTATCCTACCACCGAATTACTTTTTTACACATTGTTTTGAGACATAATCTTGCTATGAGATTATGAACTCTCAGTATGAGTTCGAGGTCAGCCTTGAACTCTCTCTGAAGTCCAGGCAGACTTTGAATTTGAAATCTTCCTGCTTCAGCTTCTCAGGTAGCTGCGATTATAGACCTGTGCGTCACACTCCTTGCTTTTTTCCTTTGCTTCATTGCCAGGACGTGTTGTTGAACATTAGTTTCGTTAGAAGGCAGCAAAATGATGTAAGTCCCCACTTCAGTTAAATGGAGCAAATGAAAAAAAAACCTGGTTCACTAAAAAGGTTCTGTACACTGGGAAACAGTTCCCCTTTACCTGTTTAATTTTAGACAGCCTCTCACAGTGCAGCCCAGGTGTGCTTGCGGTGTGCTCTGGAGTGATGGAATTCTCTCCCAGGTTCCCAAGTGTGTTTCAGGTAGGGGCCGTTATGCTCAGCTTTAGAAATAATTTTGAATTTGCTCTTGTTTTCTGCTTTCTGGGAGACATTTGAAATTACATATGTTCACTTCTTTATTTGTTTAGTGTGTGTGCATGTGTGGATGACAGAACACACTTGTGGAGGTCTGAACACAACGTGTGGAAGTCAGTTCTCTCCTTCCACCAGGTGGGTCCGAGGGTTTGAACACAGGTTTTCAGGCTGTGTTCAATACTTCAGGGGCAAGCGTCTTTATCCACTCAGTCGGCTCGACAGGCTAATATATTTTTAGGAAAAAAAAATAAGTATTTGTGTTAACCCATATTAACTCAAATGAATGGGTCTCACTGTATGACGTGTTTTAAAATCTCTTCTTGATTATAGAGAATTTCATACTGTTCGTGAAATATGATCATATCGATCTCATTTCTGCCTTCTGTCTCTTCCATGTCCATCTCAAAGCATCCCCACTTCCAACTTTATATCTTGCTGTGTGTTTTAATAACTCAGTAAGTCCGGTTAGCACTGGCTATGTAGGTGTGTGGCTGCACACTGGAGCCTGGGGACCCATCCAAGGAAGGGCAATCATGCTTATTTGAGGATGTGACCATTTTTTTTAATTCTTTACATATTTAAGACCTAAAGTAAAAGCTTTAGCTCCTTGATTTTTTAAAATAAACTTCACCTTGTGAAAGGCATTTCTCATTATTATTCTCATTTAAAAATTCCTCTTTTGTATTGTAGACAGGAATATGTGTGCTGAGGTAATGTGGCTGTGAAAACATGTTTCTGAAAAAGTATTCAATTAAAACTTATATTAGGCTGATGGACTTGCTTCATATCACTGTGAATTATTGTGTGCTCAAGTATTAAAGCCATGTCTGAAAGCGCCCATCTGCAGTGTCAGCACTAAGCTTCTGGTTTGGAGATGGGGGAGGGATACTTGAGGTTCATTGGCAACTAGCAGAGTTGCATTGACGAGGGGCCATGTCCAATGACAGACCCTGTACTGTGACAGAGGAACACACCCGAGGACGATCTCTGACCTTCTTGTACACAAGTGCACATAGACGGAAACAAGTG